ATTTAAAGATCATTGTATTCGTATTCTTAGCCAAACTGCATACAGCTGAAGTTTCCGAAAAACAAAAACAAAAAGGCCTCTTTTGGCACATGTACACAAAATGAATCTCAACTGCAATATACAGCTCGAGTTTTTTCGGGAAATACCACTAAACCTCGCGAAGCGATGTCAACTTGTCGTGATAGCCAAACAATCAGAAATGCTTGTTTACTTAAGTGTGTGACGCTTCTGTGCTAAGGCTATATGCGTGAAAATTTTCATGTAGTACACTGACCATCTTTGCCAATTTTCCTATGCATTTGACCCTGTAGATGATTCTTCCTCCTGACGTCATCTGGGCGTGTAGACACAGGGTAAAGTTAGATGGTGGCAAGAACGAAGTTTCTGCAGCTCCGCAACAAAGTGGGATGCTTGAAACAAGCTGCAGGGTATCCAAGGCTTCCCGAAACGTTTCTAAATTAGACTTGCTAATTAGTTTGTCAAGCATAAATGTTTCACATTGACCGCTTCCATTGTTTGCACTGAAGAATACGGCTCTTTGAATGAAAAGTTCTGGAGTGCTAGGATTCAGTGAGCACGCTACATACGACACGTCGTTAAGCCCGGAAAACTCGTGCTGCACCTATAACTTTGACGGCAGGTCAAGTCCGCAAAAGAAAATGAGAGTGACACCCGCAACAGGAGAGAAATTTGAGTGTGTCCCATCTGCTTGTACGCCTGCAGACCTTGCATAGCTGGTATTTACAAACTGCTGTGCAGAAGGACTGCTACTGTGGTGCCGTTTTCTGTCGTCGTCTTCAGCCGGCACACACTGATGCCGCCGCTTTGTTCGAGTCCGTGGAGCCTTACTTTTTATCGTCAAATATGCTGGCAGGTTCGGTAATATCGTCGGGACGACATCAAGGGCAAGCGTCCGCGTTCCCCTGGAAATTCGCACTTTAACACCATTGGAAATGTGGACGTAGTCTCTCAGAATAAAAGGGGGTTCAAAGTGCAACTTACACACACCGCACAATTGGCGTCAAGTGGCCTGTGAAGTCGATGGAGATTTCACTTCCAAAGAATCCGTCGACCTTCATAATTTGGGGACTTAAAAATAGATAACTTGTGATTTTGTTGCACACGCGGATATCCTTCTGTGCAACCGAGTGCGTAGCAATGATTTAGACGCAGCTTTTTAGTCATTTTACGAGCAAAAGCATGACGCCAGCCATGCCGCACAGCCATGCAAAGCAAACCTAACAATCAAACTTAAATTGGACTCTGTAGTTTTTCCTTCCTACACGCATTCATGGATGTAGTTCTGAGTTACGTGCAGCTGACCTAAAAAATCATGCAGTCTGGTGAAAATGACCAGGGCATTTACAGGTAAATGAACAGTGGATAAATCATTAGTCACTCGAAAAATTGTTCAAATGTATTAACAGTTCATCCTGAAGGAGTAGGATTCATGCTCCTAGGAATGATTTCTTGAGGTCAACATTAAGTCCTTACGATAGTAACATTTGCGCTCCCAAGGATCATCTCTCAGGATAAACAGTTAGTCTTTACTGCCGAAATATTTATTCTGTTAGGGATTGTTCCCAAAAATCAGCTAATATTTCTTACAGTAGTAACCATACTATTTTAAAGAGCAACCTTTAGCACCCTCGCAACTAATAATTCTATGATTAACTGTTGAGGTCGTTGCGGTGAGTCCCCAAAAGGACGATTAGTTGAAGTGAATCAGTTGATCCCCAAATGAAGTGACCTCTCTACCCCCCGTAGTCCTCTTTTTATTCATTAGGTTTCTTTATGTGAAACTGAATGAGGCTTGTAAGCCTTTTGATGAAAATTTCGAATTTCTGGGTTCATCAAAGATGTCACATGTAAGACCCGTTCCTTGGACGTTTTGGTCCAGATTTTCAGCTTCGGCGAGTGTGTAAATGTCCGACAAAGACATGTCCACCACGTTCGACTTGACTTTTTTTTCTTTGCACCGGATCGTGAGTCCGCCCTATGGGTCGTCGAAATATGTAAGTATGTCCACTGCATCTTCTAACGTCTCGCGCTTAACATTCATCTGGTGTACTGCGGATTCTTAGTGGTCCACGGGATTTCGATGGAGGTGGCTGCAGGTTGCAGCGAAAGTTTCCACGAGAGCTTTAAGCCTCATGACAACAGCGTGATAATGTGCATTCATAGCAATAGAAGTAACCGAAAAATCACTAGTTTCTGCACTTTCGCTTCAAGAAACATTGATGGTCGCACGTGTTATGGGAAATCAGCCTACATGCGGAAAGTTTCGAGACACCTCTCGGGATGCAATCATACATAATGAATATCAGTTGTGCCACTCGACAGAGAATCATACTGAAATAAAAGGAAGTTCGATATCGAAGTGTCATTTGCACGTGAAAAGATTTGGATCGAAGCCGTTTCGCATGATTGGATAACGATAGCAGAGAAATGTAACATAATACAAGAAAGCAACAAGGAGACACAAATCGCCACTACTTGTTCCACTCTTGTGTCCTGCTTTTTTGCGCTACAGTTGTTGTACAGATATGCCACATCAATGTAATACAGTTATGCTTTGTTACTTCAATCAGTTCTTTCGTAGTTTTCACCGAAGACGAGAAAATCTAGTGACAATTTTCCTGCCCTACCATTTTGTTCCTCGTTTCAACATTTACCATTTTGTAATTCAATGGTCCCCTACAGCAATGCCGAGCAATCTCAGATTGGTACCCTTCGACTGCGCAACGTCCATCTCTCGTCATTCGCCGTTGTCGTTCCATTGCACGTATTACTCCACTTCAGCTAATTCATCCTAATTAAAAGCAATATGTGCGCACTTGGCGAAAGTTCTTTCTTGTGTATATGCACTTTTGATAGAAGCGCTGCTCGCAGACACCTAGAAGAATCGGGATTCTGCGAGAGACGCTTGCCATTGACGCTTGGTTGTCGTGTCCGCGTCGTTATGAGACGATCTCAAACAATAAGGACACAAACCAATCCTGTCAATGCAGCCGGCGCGTGCTAGTCTGATTAGCGATTCCGGCACCACGCGGGGAGTCGCCGCTGAGTGACGGCGAGCCACCAGTGGAAGCGGCGCGCTCCTATTAGGCGGAAGAAACGGCTCAACAAGGGCGGCCACCGAAACTGAGAAGAATACAGAGAGGGGAGTGACCAGCGTATCGCGTCCTCCTCGGCATTTGTGCATGCATTTTCTCCACATTGCATCGCTCACCCGCAGCGGATCGTATAAAACGGCTGTTGTCCAGCCACCGACGACACAATCGATCCACCGCCGCAGCAGCAGCAGCAACACACGCAGCGGTTCAAGCGAGCAACCATGTGGAAGGTGAGGAGTGGCTCTGAAGCACGGAAAGGGCATGGCGGGGCGCCATTCACTCTTGTGGGACAAATACTATGGGAACTATGGCACTGCCATCGGTTCATGTTTATCGTGCGTGTATATACCACGTGTCTCATCTTCGTGCATGCGGCGAACGTTTCTACCGCGTTATCCGGTGCGTGTCACATTGTCCGTTATTTGTAAGTAGCGAGGTAAAGTAATTCCTCTTGAAAGCAGATCATTCTTTTCAATCAAATGCAGTGTGCAAACGTGGACAGAAAAAAAGTATCAAGACATCACAAACGGCGGGGGCGTCCTGACTTCTTGCATTAGTTCGTGTTTGCACGCTTAGTGTTTAGGATCATCACTCACGAACTATAGCTGTGCGCATATTTTTGCATTTATCCATTTTCAGTGTAGCAATGCCGTTGGAAGAAACGCAGTACCACCTTGGCATGAGAGAAGCACGTGTGCGTTCTTGGCCTGATGATTACAGAATATCATGTGCTGGAAGACTGAAGCGTATTCTTATCGCTACTATGCAACGGAGCTTCTCTTTGCGACAGCTACGCCACAGCTGAGCAGACGTGATGAAAAATCGCCGGGGAATCGAATCAATTATCACGAGGCCAGAGTATCCGCAGTCTGAAAGTGATGTTTGCATGCTCTGATGAACCTTCAAAAGTGTCTTTCTTTAGCATCTCACTTTCTCATAACCTTAGTGCCCGATGTTTTCGAAACTGGGCCTATTAATAAATGAGAGACAGGTAGCGCCCTCTACCCAATGCGCTGCGCTTATAGGTGCTATGACCAGAGCGCTATCAAAACAGGCTTCTCTTCATTTTAGACGGATCTATACAATAACAAAAATAAAATGCCCTGCGTTCTGTTGGGCCTAATTTGGCGCATGTTCATGCATAAAATTTGAAATTTGTGCCCTTTCAGGTTTGTGGGGCTATTTATTACGTTATACTTAACCACCAGAGAAGTCAAATTGATAGATATTCGAAGTGTGGCTTAGAATGAACTCGAGAGCTTTCGCAGAAAACCTACTTTTGTTATCAGTAACATTGCGTCAACTAAACAGCTTGCGGAACAGGGCGTTGATACCCCCCCCCCCCTGCATGCCCCTTAGAAATTATCAACAAACAAAAATTCCTAATGTCCGTGCAAGGTACAACTGAAGCGCGTCAGGTGGGAGAGCCTAAAGGTATATTGAAGAGAAACATAAACTGGAAGCCGTGGTTTAAGACCTAAACGGTCATACGATTCATTTGATATAACTAAGCAGATTTGAGTTGGGGAAGAAGTATAACAGCTTCACGACTGCGCAAGCTGAACTCGCATGACGAGGCACATGGCCAATATAGGCCACTTGCAATCATAATGTTGCTTTTCTGAAAAAATAATGACACGCTATACGCTAATCAACGGTGTTTTTATGCGACATGTTTAAAGTAATGCAGAGCTGTGGAGTCACACTCATAAGCTGCCTAAACCTGCCACCCCAGGGTAATTCTTCGCATTATTCTCACTAATCTTGAGCTGCCAGTTTGTAGAACTTCACTTGAACATTTCTTTAATACCGTAAATGGGGCACTAAACATGCCTTTGTGGCATTCGCTTAAGCGTTTGATGCCCCAATACATGCAGGCTGTGATCTCATTCACCCTCTTCGCCGTCATGGCAAAGGCCGGTAACATCCCTGGTGAATACAGTGGTGAAGCCTTCGGTGGTCACGGAGCAGTCGGCATTGGGTTAGGAGGTGGCTACGCTGGACGTGGCTACGTCGCCGGCGGTGGTGGCGGTTATTATGGTGGAGTAAGTAGCCGATTCTAGTAGCCGAACCACAAACACAACAAAATCCTTAACGAGGATGCCATGCACTCATAGTGAGTGCCATAACATCTCCGTTGAAATTTGCACGTAGCGTAGCTTACTTGTTTTCCAGTGAATATCTAGCACATAGGCTTCACGATAAATAGATGGAAAAGTTCATCGTACACGTTCACTAAGTATCCTGAGTTGGCGAATACGTGTCTCGTGCAGGGTTACAGAGCCTACGAAGACAACCGGCCAAGGCCGTACAGTTTCGGCTACGTCGCTCAGGCGTTGGGCGGTTCCAGCTCTCGCCAAGAGGTAGGCGATGGAAATGGTGCTGTCCAGGGAATGTACACCATCACCACGGCGGAAGGCGGCCAGCGCAAGGTCAAGTACACGGCCGACGCAGCAGGCTTCCGTGCCGTGGTCGACACCAACGAGCCCGGCACGCAGAGTGAGAGTCCAGCTGACGTGGCCCTAAGGTCGTCCTCCCCGCCGGCTTACGTGCTCGCAGCCAAGTACGGCCCGACTGGGTCGTCGTACGGCGGCATCAGGCCGCGCGTTGTTTACGACGGCGTCGGGGCCCTGTACGGAGGGGGAGCTTCTGGTTTCTACGGAGGGGTCGGCAGCCGAGGCGTGGGACTGCTCAGCAAGCACGGCGGATGGCACTAGTGCACCGGTCTTTTACGTGCATTCTCTCTCTACCTGTATCCTGGTTTTTGAGACAATGGTGTCAGTATGCACACTTCCGCTGTGGGATCATCCTTCACTCTCGGTGTCGTAGTCGTCTGCTTGCTGTTGACACCAGGTTCGCTGGACGCTGTGGCTGCTTGAGGTGGTGGGGAAAAGAGGGTCATGCGTTCTGCTTTGCTGCATATACGGAAAATAAACACATGTTTTGAAACAACAAAACGGCATTTGTACTCCTATGAAAGAAAGAGAAATTTTAAGGGCTTGTTTTGCTTTGCTGCACTGTAAACAAAAAAAATATAGCCAGATGAGAGGAATAGGGGAATGATGCGCACGCTCTGCTCCAGTGGCCTCACCCAAACCGCATTTTACCGTAGCAAATACATTCGTTTTCCACCGTTTTCGTCAGGTGGGCGTTGAACGAAGAAAACCGGAGGAAAACGGGCCCGATCTCCTGAATATGCTCCGGGTGTTTCTCCGGAAATGCTCTGGCCCATCGCTTTTGCGTTGGTGGATGCTTCCCAATCACTTCGGCTCGTCTCTCAGCGGCACAAATTGGCTGTTCGAGGAGTGCCTTGGCAGCCTCACCATCGGGAGGCTGTTCCTGACTAACCAAGATGGCGCCAAGCAAGCCGGTGCAGTGAGAATTGTGCGAAACGTTCGGCCGCGTTAGAGAAAAAGAAATCGTTCTGAGCACCTTCTAGATATCCTAAGCGACAAGCAGCGATAGAGGTTATCAACAACAGCAGGTATTTATGCGAACGCTAATTGTGTGATGGTTCTTGGCAGCGAACGACACATTCTGATCGCGCGAGTGTTGAGAGACCTGGTGGTTCTGTGGCGGCGAAAGAACAATAAGTGAGCTCTTCTTGAATTACCTGTGTTATTTTTGTCACGTATTGCTAAGATTGGATAATGTTAAGTTTATAAGCTTGTGAACAACATTGGGCTTTTCATAAGTTGTCAGTGAAAAATTGGCATAATTCTGATAATGAGTTGTTTTGACTACGTGTTTTTTCTTCGTAACAAACCTTCAGTAAAGAAAAACGGAGAGGTGAGCGATCTAATACTGATTCATTGTAGCATAAATGCAGCGCAGAGAAAGATGAAATAAAGAAAGTGAACACCACAAGTGCTTGTGGTTGTTAATTTCCTTGTACTCGTCCTTTTTTGCGGTGCACTTACGCCATAATAGCTTCAGTAAATTGAATCAAGTCACAGTAGTATTTGGAGCGCTGAATAGATATGCAACAACAAAAAATGCCATAGTTTTTATTTTAGTTACAGATACTGCATGCCCTTTTTGGGCCCATGCAAGAGTGAATACAAATAATATATGCAGACAACAAATAAAAATACACAGTATATCTCGGCACAGCTGAAAAAAAAATTCCGCCATATCCACGAAATGAATGATGATGTGTGGGCGAAGCTCCGGAGGTAAACCTTGTAAACCGTGAATCCTCTGTACATTTTGCCCACTCGATTTTATTACATCGCTCCCCCTAGCGTACGTCACCGCACTAAATTGAAAGATTGCCTTCAACCAATGACACGCGCCGTATGTAACATCATTCCTTTTTTATAAGATCTCGCGTCTTTCATCAACTACAAGTACCGCTTTCTAGTTTATAACATCTTGCATCTTTTCCTCATCAGCTACAAGTACCACCATCTAGTAAACACTACAAGAACTAAACGAGAGGTGGCTACATACAGGAGACGGTACCGCCATCTAGTGAACACTGCAAGAACTAAACTAGAGGTGGCTACATACAGGCTACAGGGCACGCACAGCCCACGCCCTAAGGAGCTTCGCCCCTAAAAATGATACCTAACAAATACCGAGTCGAAGGACATAGCACTCAGCAGTATAGACACACATACGCCTTTATATATATATATATATATATATATATATATATATATATATATATATATATATATATATATATATATATATATATATATATATATATATATATATATATATATATATATATATATATATATATATAGGTGTTAGACGTAGATGAGGAAGAAGTGCTTGATGGAAAAAACATGGCGGATAAGCCAGGTCATGTCTCCCATTCATCATAGCATCACACGAGTCGACAGGATGGAGACCTGCCAGCCCCTTCATCAGTCGCACATCATCGGCAAGGTTCTCCGCAAGCCACCCCGACCATGAATGAACTACCGAACCAGCACCTAGCAGTACACATCGACGAGCATCACGACGGAATCATCGACTGACTTTCCCATCCCCAAGTACACCGGAGCAGCGGACGATGGACCAGTACAAGACTGGTTCAACCTGTTCGAGCTCCATGCTACTGCTGCATCATAGTTGGAACGGGAAATGGTCGCCAACTTTACCGACTACGTCTCCGGTGAGGCCTTCAAATTCTACCTCACCCACATATTTCATAACGACGAGCCATGGGAAAAGATCAAACAAGAAATGATCGTTCGATTTAAAGAATACAATGATGACTACGACGAAGGCTTGCTTATAAACCACCATCCACAGACCGCCGCATTCAGTCGTCACAGTCAAAAGCAGCCTTACCGCATTGACCAACCTCCTGCTTTTTCATCGCATGGATCTTCGGTCGCTCATAACGACCACATCGCGTCTCACACGTTTACTATGGTCGGAATAAAGCAGAGAAGCTCGGAGCATACTCCATCAAGCCCGGGACCTACACTTTAGTTTCAGGTGCCAGAAGAGCTCGCATTGTTCGTTGCATAGAAAGACAGTCATTCTCAACTAGAATCGGACCAAACCACGCTTATTTCGGTGTCGCCAATGAGAGCACAGCCATCTGAAAGCCCAAACACAGGAGGCTCGAAAGCAACTCTTGCAGGTTGCCAGGTGCCAGAAACCTACGTAATGAATGCTGTAGCAGGCGCCTCTGATATTCCTCAAGTAAAATCTGTCCTACCAACTTCGGTGCCTAAAAAAACGTTGCAACAGCTACCAACTGAAAACTACGTCAAGTTGCCAAGGAAAGAATTGTCCTACTCAAAAAGGCTGCCATCTAAACACTTTTTGCAACATCAGCAAGGCCAGCACAATGAAATCGGCCAGGTCAAGCACCTTGTTATTCGACACGAAACTCTAGAGACGTCAGAAGAACACACATGGCGTCAAGAAAGACGTTTACAAACGACTCAACCAAAGCGACATGTTCAAGATGTCTCACTCGAGACAAAGAAAGCATCAAATCCTAGACATTTTCCCAAGAGACGTCGAGTAAGTTTTCTCCAGCAGAGATCAATACTCAGACAACATCACATATGACAACGGAAAAGGCGCAAACCAACACCCTGTATTCCGGAAGGATGCGAAAATCACCGCAACAACCTTGGTAAAGATATACGCAAACGGGTGGCGCCACATGTGTACCAATCGAGACAAAAATCACGACGTCTACGCAAGTTATGCTGCTGGGGCTCCAAAGCCTTCCCATTACGTTCATTCGTCGCAAGAATACAAGCAGCGTCATCATCAGTTTCCACGCTCAAGGTTTACTTGTGTTTTCCAGAATGCAACAGTCAGCCTCACCCACCAGAGCTATGCTAACACCGGATTGCTGCCCTCTCCTGTGAAATCTTTGTGCGACTTTACGGAACTTCAATCTGACGAGGAACTACAGCCTATTTGTACTTTTATTTGTATGTTCTAAGACTGCTTGTTCATCATGCATTGTATTATGCAACGCGTGCATTCTTTCAGGGGAGGGGGAATTTTGTAACCTAAGAAAGTAATGATGGTTAGGAGTTAGAAGTACATGAGGAAGAAGTGCTCAATGAAATAAACATGGCGTATGAGCCAGGCCACGTCTCCCATTCATCATAGGGTCACACACACACACACACACACACACACACACACACACACACACACACACACATATATATATATATATATATATATATATATATATATATATATATATATATATATAGTCCAGTAGATTCTCCATGAGCGGTCAAAACGTGGTTTATTTCGACGTTTCGGCCTAAAGTCTGGCCTTCATCAGGATGATGAAGGTGAGACTCCAGGCCGAAACGTCGAAATAAACCACGTTGTGACCGCTCACAGAGGATCTACTGGACTACTGGACTATATGCAACGCAACGGCCATATATAAATAAATATACGTATATATATATATATATATATATATATATATATATATATATATATATATATATATATATATATATATATATATATATATATATATATATATATATATATATATATATATATATATATATATATATATATATATATATACATATATATATGCAGGCCACACACATCAAGAAAAAGTAATATTTACAATAAATTCTGTACTGTTAATGAAGCCAACGACTCAGAGTTTAAAACATTCTCAGACAAGTAATTCCAGTAAGTGATCGCGTGATGAAATAGAGCAAACTTGTGGACCTTAATGTGGCTAACTGGTTGCCTAAAAGTTTTGCTGTAATTCGTTTTGGCTGAAAGTTTTTTAGGATACTGAAGGTAACGCTCCCATGAAAATTTGAAGTCCCCAAGATAAAGCTGGTAAATGAATTTTAGTCTTGATAGAATCCTGCGCGGCTCAAGTTTTTGTAGGTTAGCCTTGTTACGTGAATAAGTTACACTGGAATACCGGAAGTGCACGGAATATATGAAACGCAAAGCTAAATTTTGAACTCTTTCATTTTTTTTTTAATGAAGTACTTCTGCCAAGTGCTCCAAATAACGTCGGCATACTCCAACTTCAGTCGCACTAGTGCTTTCTTTGCATTTTGTTATCTTTAGGAGGAGCGTTTCGCAGTTTTTGCTTTAAAAAGGACAATTTCTTTTGTGCACTCCTGCAGACGTTCTTGACATGTGTTTCCCAGCTGAGATTACTCGTGAGTGTGACGCCTAAATATTTAACATGATCTGTTCTCGTGATTGTAGTATTTCCCAAAGAGTATGTAAATTGTAGAGGCTTCTTTTTGTTGGTAAACACAATGAAATTAGTTTTTGAAGGATTTAGTTTCAATCCCCACGTTGTGCATCATGCATCAATCGAGTGTAAAGCATTGTTTAGTTTAATTTGGTCTTCTTCACAATTTATGACTGCGTATATTGCGCAGTCATTCGCAAATAG